TTATTATTCTTTAAAAAGAAACTTTGAAGAGGAATTTTTTACTTTCTACATGAAGTTTGCAGTGAGTTGAGATCATGCCACTGCACTCCAGCCTGGGTGACAGAGTGAGGCTGTTAAAACAAAAACAAAAACAAACCCCTACCAATTTCTTGCCCATTCCAGGGTACTCCTAACTAGACCACAAGTTCCCTGCTAAAAAAAAAAAATCCTTAAATTACTCCACTTGCTAAGTGCATGTATCGTGATTTGACGACCCTTTTCTATCCATTCAGGTATCAGCGGTATTTATATCAAATGAAGAGAAAGATCACAGAAGAAACCGAGGAGGGGAGAAGGAACTTTCACAGGTGAGCAGATGGAGCTGTATGCTGACCAAGAGGCTGTCTCTCTGAAACGTTTGCAAATCCATGAACGCAAACTCCCATAGACGTCAGTGCCCAGCAGACACGAGATTCTTGACTACACTTAAAAAAAAAAAGATGAGGCCGGGCGCAGTGGCTCACGCCTGTAATCCTAGCAGTTTGAGAGGCTGAGACGGGCAGGTCATGAGGTCAAAAGATCAAGACCATCCTGGCCAACATGGTGAAACCCTGTCTCTACTGAAAAAAAAAAAAAAAAAAAAAAAAAAAATTAGCTGGGTGTGGTGGCACGTGTCTGTAGTCCCAGCTACTCGGGAGGCTGAGGCAGGAGTATTGCTTGAACCTGGGAGGCGGAGGTTATAGTGAGCTGAGATTACGCCACTGCACTCCAACCTGGTGACAGAGAGAGACTCAGTCTCAAAAAAAAAAAATAAATTCCCCACTGCAGAGACAGTATCATTAAGTATTCTGCCTGATGTGGTATGAATTATGCAATGTCTCTGTGGAAAAAAAAAGCAAAAAAAAAAAGTAGTAAAAATAAAAATAAATATTTATTTCTTTTTTACAGACAGGGTCTCATAAGTACAATGGTACCATCAAAGCTTACCGTGAGGCCGGGTGCAGCGGCTCACACTTGTAATCCCAGCACTTGGGAGGCTGAGTCAGGGTATCACCTGAGGTCAGGAATGTGAGACCAGCCTGACAACATGAAGAAACCCCATCTCTACTAAAAAGACGAAATTAGCTGGGCATGGTGGTGCGTGCCTGTAATCCCAGCTACTCAGGGGGCCAAGGCAGGAGAATTGCTTGAACCCAGGAGGCGGAGGTTGTAGTGAGCCGAGATCGTGCCACTGCACTCCAGCCTGGGCAACCAGAGTGAAATTCTGTCTCAAAAAAAAAAAAAACACCAACTTCCTACATTCTCGACCTCCTAGGCTGAAGCGATCTTCCTGCCTCAGCCTCCTGAGTGGGGCCACAGATGTGCACCCCCACCACGCCTTGTATTTTTTCTGTTGTTGTTTTTTGTTTTTTTGAGACAGAGTCTCACTTTGTCGTTGCCCAGGCTGGAGTACCGTGGCGTGATCTCAGCTCACTGCAATCTCCACCTCCTGGGTTTGACCAATTCTCCTGCCTCAGCCTCCCAAGCAGCTGGATTACAGCTGCATGCCACCACACCTGGTTAATTTTTGTATTTTTAGTAGAGACAGGGTTTCCCCATGTTGGCCAGGCTGGTCTTGAACTCCTGACCTCAGGGGATCCGCCTGCATCGGCCTCCCAAAGTGCTGGGATTACAGGCATGACCAAGCATGCTTGGCCAGTTTTTTTTTTTCTTTTTGTTTTTTTAAGACATGGGGTCTCGCTATGTTTCCCAGGCTAATCTCAACTCTTGGGCTCAAGTGATCCTCCTGCCCTGGACTCCCAAAAACCTGGGGTTACAGATGTCAGCCCCTGCTCCCAGCCATGATTCTCGGCTATTCTGAGAACAGACACCTCTTGCTACAGAGAAATGCACACAGGTCCGTGGGCTGTAGAGGCCTGGCATTGACTGGATCCCCCAGAAGGCTGAAGTTCTGGAATACCTTATTATTTTTTTTGTGATGGTATCTGCTCTGTCTCAAGGCTGGTGTGCAGTGGCGCGATCTCGGCTCACTGCAACCTCCACCTCCCGGGTTCAAGCGGTTCTCCGGCTTCAGCCTCCCAAGTAGCTGGGATTACAGGTGTGCACCACCACGCCCAGCTAATTTCTGTATTTTTAGTAGAGACAAGATTTCACCGTGTTGGTCAGGCTGGTCTCAAACTCCTGGCCTCAGGTGATCCACCCACCTGGGCCTCCCAATGTGCTGGGATTACAAGCGTGAGCCACTGCGCCCAGCCAAAGTTCTGGAATATTAAGGTGCAGTCTTCAACAGTCTTCTGCCTGCCTGGACATGGAGGCTCTCCACCTCCCACACCAGCCTGACTCATTTTCAAGGAGACTGATTGCTTCAAGGCATTCTTCTCTACCTCCTTTAAGCCTCAGTCTCTTTTAGATTCATTCTTTTGGCCTCATTCTGGCTTCCAGAACACTCTCAGATTGAGATTTTTCTGGAATCGGAGATTCTTTTTTTTTTTTTTTTTTTTTTTTTTGAGACGGAGTTTCGCTCTTGTTACCCAGGCTGGAGTGCAATGGCGCGATCTCGGCTCACCGCAACCTCCGCCTCCTGGGGTCAGGCAATTCTCCTGCCTCAGCCTCCTGAGTAGCTGGGATTACAGGCACGCACCACCATGCCCAGCTAATTTTTTGTATTTTTGGTAGAGACGGTGTTTCACCATGTTGACCAGGATGGTCTCGATCTCTCGACCTCGTGATCCCTCGACCTCGTGATCCACCCGCCTCGGCCTCCCAAAGTGCTGGGATTACAGGCTTGAGCCACCGCGCCCAGCGATTCTTTTTTTTTAAGATAGTCTCACTCACTCCATCGCCCAGGCTGGAGTGCAGTGGTGCGATCTCGGCTCACTGCAGCCTCCGCCTCCCGGGTTCAAGTGATTCTCCTGCCTCAGCCTCCTGAGTAGCTGGGACTACAGGCACGTGCCACCATGCCTGCCTAATTTTTGTCTTTTTAATACGGGTGGGGTTTTGCCATGTTGTCCAGGCTGGCCTCAAACTCCTGACCTCAAGTGATTTCCCTACCTTGGCCTCCCAAAGTGCTAGGACTGCAGACGTGAACCACTGCGCCCAGCCTGGAGATTCTTTTCAACTTCCCCTTTTCAGGTGGAACAGGTCTGGTCTTTCTGACTGAACCTCACCCAATAGCTTCTGTAACTGACTCTTGGGCATCGTGTCCGGGAGGTGGATGAATTCCTTGCTGTGAAGGGGAGAGGGATGAGCAGCTGTCTCTAGCTAACAAATCAGAGTCACATATGTCAATAGCAAATTCGAACAGCTTCCTTTCCACGTGGTTTTTTTTTTTTTTTTGGAGACAGATTCTGGCACTGTCACCCCGGGGGAGTGCAGTGGCGTGATCTCAGCTCACTGCAACTTCCAGCTCCCAGGTCAAGTGATTCTCCTTCCTCAGCCTCCCGAGTAGCTGGGATTATAGGCATCCACCACCATCCTAGCTAATTTTTTTTTTTTTTTTTGAGGCGGAGTTTCGCTCTTGTTACCCAGGCTGGAGTGCAATGGCGCGATCTCGGCTCACCGCAACCTCCGCCTCCTGGGTTCAGGCAATTCTCCTGCCTCAGCTTCCTGAGTAGCTGGGATTACAGGCATGTGCTACCATGCCCAGCTAATTTTTTTTTTTGTATTTTTAGTAGAGACGGGGTTTCACCATGTTGACCAGGACGGTCTCGATCTCTTGACCTTGTGATCCACCCACCTCGGCCTCCCAAAGTGCTGGGATTACAGGCTTGAGCCACCGCGCCGGCCTTTTTTTTTTTTTTTTTTTTTTTTTTAATATTTTTAGTAGATACCGGGTTTTACTGTGTTGGCCAGGCTGCTCTCAAACTCCTGACCTCGTGATCCACCTGCCTCGGCCTCCCAAAGCGCTGAGATTACAGGCGTGAGCCACTGTGCCCAGCCTTTCGTTTTCTTTTTCAATAGAGACAGGGTCTCTCTCTGTCTCCCAGGCTGGAGTGCAGTGGAGTGATCCTGGCTCACTGCCACCTCTGCCTTCCGGGCTCAAGCGATCCTCCTGCCTCAGCCTGCCAAGTAGCTGAGACTACAGGTGCACACCACCATGCCCAGCTAATTTTTTTTTTTTTAATAGAAAGGGGGGGGATCTCACTATCTTGCCCAGGCTGGTTTCAAACTCTTGGGCTCAAGCAATCCACCCAGCCTCAACCTCCGAGAGTACTGGTATTGTAGGTGTGAGCCAGCACACCTGGCCCCTGTGATTTCTTATTCCATCTGGTGACCAGCACTCATACCCCAGTATTTATTAGGCGCTGACTGTATGCCAGGCACTGTCCTTAGGTTGGGATACAGCAGCGAGCTATAAATAAAGACCCCTGCCCTGCGGGGCTCTCTGTGGTGGGAAGACAGAGTGTAGACAACATGTCCCTGCAAAACATTCAGCATAAGGGCCGGGCACAGCTCCCGCCTGTAATTCCAGCCCTTTGGGAGGCCGAGGCAGGAGGATCACCTGAGGTCAGAAGTTTGAGACCAGCCTGGTCACCATGGTGAAACCCCATCTCTACTAAAAATACAAAAATTAGTGTGGTGGCTTGTTTCTGTAATCCTAGCTAGCCTGGGCACTGAGGCAGGAGAATCACTTGAACCCGGTAGGCGGAGGTTGCTGTGAGCCGAGATCGCGCCACTGCACTCCAGCCTGGGTGACAGAGCGGGACTCCGTCAAAAAACAAAAGTAGTGTAGGGGTGGGCTTCCTTTGGAGGTTTGGGGCAGGGAGGACAGAAACGAATCTTTGTAATTGAGCAAATACCCACGCGGTGCCTGGTCTGGACTATCCACTGTGAGGCCACAGAGCAGGCTCACACACAGGGCCTCAGCCCCCCAGAGGGTACGGGAGGTGACGATGTGCAGAGATGGAAGCAGGCCAGCCCGGGCCATTCCCACTCAGAGACGGTCTGGCTCCTGCGTCCCACCTGGGAGAGACACTGGGCCTGCTCCCTCTACGGTTGGCGCAGGGATCGGGAAGTCCTACCTGGGAAGATCTTCGTCCTGCCATTCCTCCTTCACGTCCACGTTTTCCATCCGGAGTGTGGCTTCGGTGGTCCCCATGGGAGCTGGGAAGAGGTGCCGGCTTGAAGCAGGTCTGAGCCCTGAAGGGAAGCCACAGAGGAATGGGTTTTACTGGTCGGTAATCCTAACGGCAGTGCCCTTCCTATTCTTATTATTTCCTCCTCCTTCTGCTCCTCTTCCTCCTTCTCCCCCTCCTCCCCCTCCTCCTCCTCCTCCTCTTCTTTTTTTTGAGACAGAGTCTCGCTCTGTCGCTCAGGCTGGAGTACAATGGCATGATGTCAACTCACTGCAGCCTCCACCTTCCAGGCTCAAGCGATTCTCCCACCTCAGCCTCCTGAGTAGCTGGGATTACAGGCACCCACCACCATGCCTGGCTAATTTTTGTATTTTCAGTAGACACGGGGTTTCACCATGTTGGCCAGGCTGGTCTCAAACTCCTGACCTCAGGTGATCCACCTGCGTCAGCCTCCCAAAGTGCTGGAATTTCAGGGGCGAGCCACCACTCCTGGCTAATTTTTGTATTTTTAATAGAGGTGGGGTTTCATCATATTGGACAGGCTGGTCTCAAATGCCTAAGCTCAAGCTGGTCCACCTGCCTCTGCCTTCCAAAGTGCTTTAAACCTTGTCTTAGGCTGGGCGTGGTGGCTCACGCCTGTAATCCCAGCACTTTGGGAGGCCGAGGCCAGTGGATCACAAGGTGAGGAGTCCAAGACCAACCTGACCAACATACTGAAACCCTGTCTCTACTAAAAACACAAAAAGTACCTGGGCATAGTGGAGGGCACCTGTAGTCCCAGCTACTCAGGAGGCTGAGGCAGGAGAATCGCTTGAACGTGGGAGGGGGAGGTTGCGGTGAGCTGAGATTGTACCCCTGCCCTCCAGCCTGCAACAAGAGCAGGACTCTGTCTCAAACAAACAAACAAAAAATCTTTGCCTTAAAGGATTACAAGGGTGAGCCACCACGCCCAGCTCTTTTATTTTTTTTAAAGGTATGATCTTGCTCTGTTGCCCAGGCTGGAGTGCAGGGGCACAGTCATGGCTCACTGCAGCCTTGAACTCCTTGGCTTAAGCAAATCTCCTGCCTCAGCCCCCAGTCAGTAGCTGCAGCCACAGGTGTGCACCATCATGCCTGACTAATTAAAAAAAAAAAACTTTTTAAAGAGATGGGGTCTTGCTATGTTGCCCTGGCTTGTCTTGAACTCCTGGCTCAAGCAGTTGTCCTGCCTCAGCCTCCCAAAGCGCTGTGACTACAGGGGTGATCTGCCCCCACCCAGCACTTCTTGTTGAACTATCACCAGCCCCCTGAGGTTCCCCTGTTTTACAGACGAGTAAACAGAGGCACAGAGAGCTTAGGGTGCACAGATGGGTCTGGAGTTTGAAGCCAGGTGAGAGGCTGAGCCTTCAGATACAAGCCCTGCTCCCTTGGAGACTCTGAAATCCACCTTCTCCAGGGTGAGCCGTGATGCACATGGCTTATCCTCCCTCTCATACCTTGGACCCCAACTAGAAAGCAAGAAATCCAAATCATCATTCATACTAAGGTGTGAATAGCTGATACACGTTAGCTTCCATGCTAGGAATGCCAAGTTCAAACAGAATCCGGTCGACTCTAACCCATCGCTGTCTGCCATCTCTACCAGGCCACCTGTCCTGTCCCTCCGTCCTCCCTCAAGCAAGTCCTAGTGACCTTCCGACCCCCCCATGGCTCACAAAGGCAGTGTGGAGAGAGACTGGGCTTGGAAATGAGACCCTCATCTTTACTAACCACAAAATGTCACATTATTTATTGATTTATTTAAAGGTGGGGTCTTGCTCTGTTGCCCAGGCTGGAGTGTAGTGCTGCGATCCTGGCTCACTACAGCCTCCAACTCCTGAGCTCAAGCGATCCTCCTGCCTTAGCCTCCCAAGTAGCTGGGCACATGGGCATGTGCCACCACACCTGGCTAATTTTTCCACGCAGATGGGGTCTTGCTATGTTGCCCAGGCTGACCTTAAACTTTCAGGCTCCCACCTCGGCCTCCCAAAGCGCTGGGATTACAGACGTGAGCCACGGTGCCACCCCACCCCCACACCAATTTTGTTTTTCTTGTTTTGAAAAGCTCACTGGGCACAGGGGAAGGGCAGGGGCAGCAGTCTGGGTGGTGGCCAGGGCCAGGGTCAGAGCTGCCAGGTGAGACCGACTTCAGGTCTGCTCTGGGGCACGGCAGGCTCTCAGACCGTCTCACTCTCTAGGTCTCAGTTTCCCCTTCTGTAAACAAAAGAGTTGAATTTGAGATGACCTCTAAGATACCTTGAGGGCCTAACATCCTGGCATCTTAGGACTCAGCCACCTCCATCTGTTTTGTGCTTTGAGAAGCCAGTGCTTTGCACCTGTGGACAATTCTGCTCCGCTCTTGCTGCAAGGGGACACTTGGCATTGTCTAGAGGTGTCTTCGTCCCAGCTGAGGGGAAGGAGCGCTCCCGGGGGCACCCCGAAGTGCCAGGATGGCCGCCCATGACCAAGAATGATTGGGCCCCAAACATCCATAGATTCTGGGTGGAGAAACTTTGTCTTAAAGGCAATAGTCATTTCTCGGCCAGGCGTGGTGGCTCACACGTGGAATCCCAGCACTGTGGGAGGCCGAGGCAGGTGGATCGCAAGATCAGGAGTTCAAGACCAGCCTGGCCAAGATGGTGAAACCCAGTCTCTACTAAAAATATAAAAATCAGCGAAGCGTGGTGGTGCGTGCCTGTAATCTCAGCTACACGGGAGGCTGTCAGGAGAATCGTTTGAACCTGGGAGGCGGAGGTTGCAGTGAGCCGAGATCACACCACTGCACTCCAGCCTGGTTGACAGATTGAGTCTTCATCTCAAAAAAAAAAAAAGTCATTTTTCTCTGTGCATTCCTGCACTTGTGAAAGGATTTCAGGCCCGTGTCTGGCAGTCCTTACAGAGCATCGTACACCTGTGCTTCCATTACCTCCACCTGTCCTCTCAACAGCTCTGAGTAGCTAGATCCACTTTTTACTTTTATTTTTATTTTTTAATTTTCTTTTTGAGACGGAGTCTCCCCCTGTCACAGGCTGGAGTGCTGTGGTGCAATCTCGGCTCACTGCAACCTCTGCCTCCCGGGTCCAAGCCATTCTCCTGCCTCAGGCTCCCGAGTAGCTGGGATTACAGGCATGCACCACCACGCCAGGCTGATTTTTTTATTTTTTAAAGTAGAGACGGGGTTTCATCATATTGGCCAGGCTGGTCTCAAACTCCTGACCTCAAATGATCCACCTGCCTTGGCCTCCCAAAGTGCTGGGGTTAAAGGCGTGAGCCACTGCGCCCAGCCTTAGTTCCACTTTTTAAAGCATCTAGGGGCCGGGTGCAATGTGCATGCCTGGAATCTCAGCACTTTGGGCAGATTGCTTGAGACCAGGGGTTCGAGACCAGCCTGGGCAACATAGCAAGACCTCAGTTCTCAAAAAAAAAAAAAGCCACAACTAACCAAGCATGATGGTGGGTGCCTGAGGTCCTAACAATTCAGGAGGCTGAGGTGGGAGGATGGCTTGCGCCCAGGAGGTCGAGGCTGCAGTGAGGTATGATCACATCACTGCATTCCAGCCTGAGTAACAGAGTGAGACCCTATTTCAAAAAATAAGATAAAAATAAAACATCTGAGTAGGTGCAGTGGTGCATACCTGTAATCCCCAGCACTTTGGCAGGCTGAGATGGGAGGATTGCTTGAGCCCAGAAGGTCAAGACCAGCCTGGGCAACAAGGCAAGACCTCATGTCTACAAAAAAAAAAAAAAGAATACAAAAATTATCCAAACGTGGTGGTGGGTCACAGCTGCAGTGAGGTCACAGCTGCAGCGAGCTATGATTGTGCCACTGCATTCCAGCCTGAGCAACAGACACCCTATTTCAAAAAATAAAATACAAAATAAAGCATCTGGCCCGTGGCAGTGGGTCACACGTGTAATCCCAGCACTTTGGGAGGATCGCTTGAGCACAGGAGATCAAGACCAGTCAGGGCAAGGTAGCAAGACCCTGTCTCACAAAAACAAATGAATAAAGCAACTAAGGCCCCCGATTCTCACGGCCCCCCCGGCTGCCCCTCTGGAGTAGGTCGCCTGCAGCCCCCCAGAGTGGATGTCAGGTTTGCATCGGGGACCGTGGCTCAGCAAGGGAGGACCCAGAGGCAGATGAGGAAGTGGGGGGAGGGGACAGCTAAAACTAGACCCTCCCCCGTGCAGGGTGAGAGTTTCTCACTCGATTCTCTGTCCTCGATGTCGTCATTCATTCTTGGAGGAGGGACAGTAACACGCAGCACGGGGGAAAAAAAAAAATCCCTCCTGCATGCTGCGTGGTGGGGGCGGGGGGTGGTGGCTGGCAGCCAGGCCCTTCCCGAGAGGGTAAGTTCTCCAAGGCAGTGGAAACGCGTTTGCTCTCTGGAGGGAGGGGTCTTCGCCTCTGCCTTCCTCCTCCTGAGCTGGGTGTGAGCTCAGTCCCCAGGAACACTGCCCCCAGCCCCACCCTCGACCCCCAATCCCCTGGCAGCTGCAGCCACAGGCATTGACTCCACAACCTTCTAAACATGGGGTGTGGTGGGTCCCCAGTGGGGGTCCCTAGTGGGCCCGGGACACTCCTGCATTCAGACCCTGGCTTCGGATTTGGGGATGGCAAAGAAGGCAGTGACATCAAGGAACCCGAGTGACGCGCTCATTTGAGCCCTGATGTCTCATTATTAGCAAATCACATAGCAGTTCCGATTAAGGAGGAGGCATCTGTGTCTTAAACCATAAACCACCCCTTCCTGCCCACCCCACAGGCAAGCCTTGATCGACACACTTAGAGAATATATATATATATAATATATATATATATATATATAATCCCCCCCCCTTTTTTTTCTTTCCAAATCGGCCGCTGGTGGCCTTCCCAGCGTTCTAAACAGGAAGCACACAGGGCTGGGATGGGTCTATGTCAGTGTCCCGGAGAGAAGCTGAGCTTTGCCTCCTCCCTAGCTGTCAACGAGACCTGGAAATGGTGCACATCTCTGCCTTCCAAGGCATCGGGGCGCGCGGAAGGTAAACTGTGCTGCTGGGTGCCGGTCAGGGCACGGGTGTCCCTGGGTCCCGGGAAAATGGATGTGAGGGCCTTGAAGCAGTCCCCAAACCGTGGCTGTCCGCTCCCACCGCCCCATCTGCTGGAAAGGGGACTTGGAGGCGGCAAATGCTGCCGGAGGAACCTTCCCGGGAGACGCGCGCACTCACCTCTGCCGCTGAGACAGCCTCTCCTCCTCACTGGCAAACAAAGGCGAGTCCTGCCGGGCTGCGGCCGGGCATCCCCCAGGGCCCCCAGGCCTTCAGAGCGTCGGAGGGAGAGGCTGCTGGCAGGGGCGGATTCTGCATCCGAGGAAGGTCACCCAGGGCGACGTGGCCAGCGCCCCGCAGAAGCTCTTTTGTGTGTGCAGGGGTGTGGGGTGCGGGTTTAGCGGTGGGCTCCCCCGCGCCGGGCTGCGGCTGCGCCCCCTGTCATCGCCGCCCGCCTGCGCGCCCTGCCTGCCTCCGAGGTGTCTGTCTGCTGCTTCCCAGCTCGCGGCTGGCAGAGGCTCGGCTGCCCGGAGACAGCGAATGTATGCTGCTTTTGTGTGCAGCGGGGAGGGGGTGGGGGCAGGCCTGACCGAAAAGCACAGCCCCCCCCCACCCCCATCCCCCTGCCAGAATCCGGTCCTCTCCATTGGCTGAAAGACAAGCCTCTCCCAAAGCCACTCCAGAGGCAGAGGCAGAAATAATTTTCTGATGGCGCATCACAGATTTAAAAAACAAAACAACCGACAAATACATACAGACCTGGCGAGGTGGCCTCATTCCTTAGAGAACGGGGTGAGGGGGTGAGGGGGCGGGGGAAGGTCTTCTTGGCACTTCTCCTTGCAAAGGGAACAGGGGTGAGGAGTGGCGTCCCCCAAAAAGTCTGAGCAGGCAAAGAAATGACTGTCCTCAGGCCAGGCGTGGTGGCTCATGCCTGTTATCCTAGCACTTTGGGAGGCAGAGGTGGGAGGAGCACCTTAGGTCAGGAGTTCGAGACCAGCCTGGGCAGCATCCTGAAACCCCGTCTCTACTAAAAATACAAACATTAGCTGGGCCTGGTGGCTGGCGCCTGTAATCTCAGCTACTCGGGAGGCTGAGGCAAGAGAATCGCTGGAATCCGGGAGGCAGAGGTTGCAGTGAGCCAAGATTACGCCACTGTATTCCAGCCTGGGCAACAGAGGGAGACCCCCGTCTCAAAAAAAAGAAATGACGGTCCAGGACACTGTGTCGTGGGTCCATGAGGAAGTCACTTAACGTTGATGGAGCCTCGTGCCCTGAACGGGGGTGGGTGCAGGGGAGACAGGAATTTCTCAGGCACACTTGCTCTGCAGGGTTGCTGTGGGAACGGCGCCCCCTGCAGTTGTGCAATGGCGTGGCCTTGCCCTGGAGGAATTCAAGGAGACAGTGGAAGATGGTAGGGTGGAGAGTTCAGGCCCTGCAGTTGGACTGGAAGTGGGTTTGAACTCTAGCCCAGCTACTCCCCAGCTGGGGGACCACTGAGTGTGAGTGATCTTACCTACCGGCTTCAGTTTTCCTCATCTGTGAAATGGAGTCGCTAGGCCTTTCCACGTTATGAGATGATGCATAGACAGCACTCAACACAGTGCTAGCACAGGAAAACATCTATCTGTGTATGTTTCTTTTTTTCTTTTTCTTTTTCTTTTTTTTTGAAGTGGAGTCTCCAGCTCTGTTGCCCAGGCTGGAGTACAGTGGTGTGATCTCGGCTCACTGCAACCTCTGATTCCCGGGTTCAAGTGATTCTCCTGCCTCAGCCTCCCAAGTAGCTGGGATTACAGGCACGTGCCACCACGGCCGACTCATTTTGTATTTTTAGTAAGATGGGGTTTCACCATGTTGGCCAGGCTGGTCTTGAACTCCTGACCTCAGGTGATCCGCCTGCCTCGGCCTCCCAAAATGCTGGGATTACCCGTGTGAGTCTGTGTAGAGACGACTTTGGAGTGGTGCAGGGTGGGGGACCCTTGGGGAGCCTTCCTGGTGGGGCACAGGGGTGATGACTATGCTTGAGACCCCTGAGGAGTGAATGGACTTAGATGAATTTAAAAAAAGAGGGAGGAAGGTGTATTCTGGACAGACAGGCCTGCCTAGACTGGCATTTCAACAGCCACAGCTTCTCCCCAGTACACGAGGGCTCCTGGAGCTGTCCATGGTGCTACAGCCACCACCAAGGAGACATGGCGTGTGACCTGAGCTCAGTCCCTGTCTGTTTTTTCTTTTTTTTTCTTTGAGATAGAATCTTGCTGTGTCGCGATAGCATGATCTCGGCTCACTGCGACCTCCACCTCCCGGGTTCAAGCAATTCTCGTACCTCAGCCTCCCGAGCAGCTGGGATCACAGGCACACGCCACCACACCTGGCTAAATTTTTTTGTAGTTTTAGAAGACACAGGCTTTCACCATGTCCGCCAGGCCGGTCTCCAACTCCTGACCTCAGGTGATCTGCCCTCCTCAAAGTGCTGGGATTGCAGGCGTGAGCCGCTGTGCCCGGCCTCCTGCAGGCTGCTGTGGGAACTAGATCGCATTGTGCATGGAAAGCATTTAGCGCCGTCTTTGTAGTAAATAATAAAAAAAAAATGCAACGCAGAGAAAACATTGCACCAGATCCGCCTTTGTAAAGAGATGAAGTCTTCATTGCCTAATTAGAATGGCAGGGATTTGGAGAGAGGCCATGTGCAATTAATTACCTTGTCGGACTTTAGCCAGGGCATGGTGGGGGGAGCTGCGCCGGCCAGGCCCACCAGACCATTCCTGGTGGCCACACATGGTCATGGAAACACGGATGGAAGAGTGCCATCCGCTAAATCACCAAATGCGGCTTCTCCCACTGCTGTCCAAGAATTAGCAGCCGTGTACCTGCTGAATGTACTCCTTACGTCAATGCTGTCGTCACATGCCATTGTCACAAACCCAACTGATTGGAAAGACTTCAGCAGAGCAAAAGTTCATAGATGCCCAAGACCCAAAACTTCCTTTTTCTGTCTGTTTTGTTTTGAGACTGAGTCTCGCTCTGTCACCCAAGCTGGAGTGCAGTGGTGCGATCTCGGCTCACTGCAACCTCTGCCCTCCAGGTTCAAGTGATTCTCCCACCTTGGCCTCCCGAGGAGCTGGCACTACAGGCGCCCACCAGCACTCCTGGCTAATTTTTGTATTCTTAGTAGAGACAGGGTTTGACCATATTGGGCAGGCTGGTCTTGAACTCCTGACCTCAGGTGATCTGCCCTCCTAGACCTCCCAAAGTGAAGTGTTCGGATTATAGGCATGAGCCACTGCACCCAGCCTCTGCCCCCACACCACCCAACTTTTTTTTTTTTTTTTTTTTTTTTTTTAGTAGAGACGGGGTTTCACCATTGTTGGCAAGACTGGTCTCAAACTCCTGACCTCGTGATTCACCCACCTCAGCTTCCCAAAGTGCTGGGATTACAGGTGTGAGCCACCATGCCTGGCTTGTTTTTTCTGAGATAGAGTCTGGCTTTGTCGCCCAGGCTGGGGTACCATCTTAGCTCATGGCTCACACCTGTAACCCCAGCACTTTGGGAGGTCAAGGCGGGTGGATCACCCGAGGTCAGGTATTTGAGAGCAGCCTGGCCAACATGGTGAAACCCTGTCTCTACTAAAAATGCAAAAATTAGCTGGATGTGTTGGCACATGCCTGTAATCCTAGCTACTTGGAAGGCTGAGGCAGGAGAATGGCTTGAACCAGGAGGCAGAGGTTGTAGCAAGCTGGGATTGTGCCATTGCACTCCAGCCTGGGCCACAGAGTAAGACTTGGTCTCAAAAAAAAAAAAAAAAAAAAAAAAAAGTTCCTCAGTCTAGGTTTGCCTAGTGTTTCCTTCATGATTAGACTGGGGTGATGGGTTTGACGGTGGAGGGGAACCGTCCTTCTCAGCATCTCACATGGAGAACACGCACCATCCACTTGAGTCATCGCTGCTGCTGCTGACTTCCATTAGGTGGCTAAGGTGTGCTTGGCACGTTTCTTTGCTTTTTCTTCTTTTTTTTTCTTCAGAAAGCTTTATTTCCATTTGGTCTAAGGTTTGGGAGAGTGCCCAGGAGAGTTAAAAAGCTGCCCAAGGCAGGCTCAGTGGCTCATGCCTGTAATCCATACACTTTGGGAGGCCAAGTTGGGCAGATCACCTGAGGACAGGAGTTTGAGACCAGCCTGCCCAACATGGTGAAGCGCTGTCTCTACTAAAAACACAAAAATTAGCCACGTGTGGTGGCGAGTGCCTGTAGTCCCAGCTACTCGGGAGGCGGAGGTGGGAGGATCGCCGGCGCCTGGGAGGCGGAGGTTGCAGTGACCTGAGATCACGCGCCAGCCTAAGCGACACTGCCTAATGGCTGGAGGGGGAGGCTGAGGCAGGAGCCTTGTTACTTTACGACTTCCTCCTCTTCTTCCTCTTCCTCTTCCTCCCTCCTCCTCTTTTTTTTTTTTTTTTTTTTTGTTGTTGTTGTTGTTTGTTAGTTTGTTTTTGGTAGCAGCTCACTCTCTTTCCCCAGGATGGAGTGCAGTGGCATAATCTCGGCTCACTGTAATCTCTGCCTCTCGGGTTCAAGCTATTCTCATGCCTCAGCCTCCTGAATAGCTGGGATTACAGGCGCCCACCAACATGCCTGGCTAACTTTTGTATTTTTAGTACAGCTGGGGTTTTGCCACGTTGGCCAGTGTTGGAAATGGATGTGGGAAATAGATGCTCGGTGCCGCAAAGAGGAATCAGCACCGAGACAAAGGATCTTTCAGCAATGCAATTTTTACTTCCTGGACTGCAGGAAGGAGACTCGCACTAGCCATCGTGCCGTAAGAGTACAATGAATAAAGGGAAACACACAAACCATCCCTTACGGTTTTGGGGTTGTCCTTACTGCTGTGTCTGATCTCCGTTGGCTGGAGCCAGACCTCACAATCTAAACTAAAACCGGATCGGCTAACGACTTAAACCTTTTCTAAACAGGTAAAAGCACTGGAGAGCTGGGACATGCCTGTGAGCACAACCAGCACAGATATCTTCGTTAAGGTATAAGGACATAGAACGCACCATGTGCCCATAAGCGTGGCATGTCTAACAGCTACATAGGATAGGGCTTCACAAAGAGCTACCAGCACACTTACTCTCTAACAAAGGAAACTTTAAAACGGACTTTTTCTACTTCCCACAATTCCTTCCCCTCTCTGTCTTCTGTCTCCCCTTCCTTTCTTCCCTTTTTTTTTTTTTTTTTTTTTTTTTTGAGACGGAGTTTCGCTCTTGTTACCCAGGCTGGAGTGCAATGGCGCGATCTCGGCTCACCGCAACCTCCGCCTCCTGGGTTCAGGCAATTCTCCTGCCTCAGCCTCCTGAGTAGCTGGGATTACAGGCACACGCCACCATGCCCAGCTAGTTTTTTGTATTTTTAGTAGAGACGGGGTTTCACCATGTTGACCAGGATGGTCTCGATCTCTCGGCCTCGTGATCCACCCGCCTCGGCCTCCCAAAGTGCTGGGATTACAGGCTTGAGCCACCGCGCCCGGCCCTTTTTTTTTTTTTTAAGAGAAAGTCTTGCTCTGTTGCCCAGGCTGGAGTGCAATGGCATGATCTCAGCTCACTGCATCCTCCCCGTC